ACAAAACAGAAAAAGGGTAATGGGAAGAAAGATCCATTTTATAGTGTGTTCAATAGCTTGTATTATTGCAACAGGTTGGGTCTCCCTGCCTCAAGTTTCTCCTCATTCCAATCTATTTTTCATTGTCAATAGTGATTTTCCTAAAATAAAGATCCAACCATGTCAAACCCCTGCTCTGTAAACTGTCTTGGCTCCTTATTGCTTCTAGGATTAAATACCAAATCCTCTGTTTAGTATTCAAATCTTTTTATAACCTAGCCCTTTCCTACCTCTAAAAAATGTTATTATTGATGTTTTCTGTTTCTTCTATCACTGTGATATCCCAAGTATCCTTATTTTCTCCCTCGGAGAGCCATCCCATTTTGACAAATAGTATTTTTTCTAGAGAGGAAAAAACATGTCTGCACAATTAATCAGTACATTGAAAGAGTTTGAAAAAATATGCAGTGTGTGACAGCTGTGGACTCCCTGCCTCCAGGAAGGGGAAGGTTGGGAGTGTCTTCTCCTATTTCTTCCTGTGAGTCCCAATTGATCTTTATAATTTTGTTACATTTTTAATTTTTTGGTGTGGTGTTCTTTCTATTTAAATTATTGTAGTTACTATGTATATTGTTTTCTTGCCTCTTCACTTTGCATCAGTTAATACACATCTTTTCATGCTTCTCTGTATTCATCATAAATCATTTAAAATCATTTTAGTAGTATTCCATTACATTCATATGCCACAATGTGTTTGGCCATTCCCCAATTGATGGGCATTTACTTTGTTTCTAATTCTTAGCTATCACAAAAAGTGCTGCTATAAATATTTTGGAATATATGGGGACCTTTTTTTCTTATCAGTGGCTTTCTTGAGGTGTAAGCCCAGTAATGGGCTCTCTGGTTCAGTGAGTATGGGCAGTTTAGTCACTTTATTTTGCATAATTCCAAATTACTTTACAAAATGGTTGCACCATTTCACAGCTCCACCAACAATGAATTAATGTACCTAATCTTCTTACACCCTTACCAACTTTAACTATTACTAAATGAGTTCCTAAGTTGCTTCGAGCATTAAGTCTGTGATCCTGTGATCTCTGTCAGACTATCCTTTCAGGTCGGGATCTCTCCCAGTGTATAAATGGGTCAAATTGATGTTCTGTGGCAATGGAAACACAAAGGAGCAGATGGAAATGACCAGTCAGTTCAGATCATTGACACTGAAAACCCTCATTTGGGGAAGTAGAGGATTAAAATTAATTTTAATTGTTTTAAAATTATATGTATGTTTCACTTTAAAAATAGAGGATGTATATTTGTGGTATAGTAAATAGAGTGCTGGGCAGCTAGGTGGGAAGTAGATAGAGTGCTGGTCCTAGAGACAGAAAGACCTGAGTTTAAATCTAGACTCAGACACTTACTACCTTTGTGACCCTGAGCAAGTCACTTAACCCCATTTGCCTAAAAAAGCCCCTTCTGGATCACTACCTTGTTGTGGCAGAGGGGCTTGCTTAGTTCAATGAAACCATGAGCAATACATGCAGGGTTACCCATGACTAAGATCATAGTGGAGAGCTCTGACCCCAAAAAAGCCCCCCAAAACAGTGATCCATTGGAGAAAGAAATGACAAACTGCTTCAGTATCTTTGCCAAGAAAATCTTATGGGAAAAATAGTCCATGGGGGTCACAGAAGAGTTGGACACTGCTGAATGACTGAACAACAAAGATGGAATGCTAGACTTGGAGTCAGGAAGATAGGAGTTCATATCTTGCCTCATACACAATTAATGACTGTGTGGCCTTGAGGCAATTCCCTTAACCTCTTCCTCAGTTTCCTTATCTCTAAAATGGGGATGATAATAATAGCACCCAAAATTGTTAGGATTAAGTGAGATAACAGGTAAAATACTTGCAAACCTTAAAGATCTATATTAAATACTGGCTATTATCTATTTTCAAAGTACTCATAGGATTATTTTAATTATCCCTAGGACATGTGAAAGATGTTGTTTTTTCAAATGTTTTATTTATAATTTTAAAAGAATGAGTAGGTCCTTTAAATCAAGGGGTCGGAGCAGAGTTTTTGATTATAACTTTTAAAAATGTGTGTGTGTGTGTGTGTGTGTGTGTATTATATATATGAGTGTAAATTAAGCACAGAATAGTATTGGGAGGCAATTGAGAGCTCACTTCAGAGTCAAGAAGACCTAGATTAAAATCCAGTCTTAAGACTCTGGCAAGGCAACTCTTGATCTGAACACATAAAGGGAATTTCAGATTCCTTTGAAATCACAGGTCTGGTTGTTGTTGTTGTTGTTGTTGTTTTAAGTATTTACAATAGTTTGCAGTACAACAGAAAATAAAATTTTTTAAAGTTTTTTTTTAATAATTTTCTTTGTTTCTTTGTTCAGCAATTGAAAAAAGAGACCATTAATCTTTATTATGTATAGTTTGTTTTTTCAGGTACATAGTACATTTAACAGTGTAGTACCAGTACTGGCCTATATGCTTGCATCCCCTTTTGAACTTTCTTCTCTCTTATTAAAATTTTTCATATTTCATTGACATACTTTTTTTTGTATCACTGTCAGTTTTTGCACCACTCTCAACCTTCTCCCTCAAAAATAAAAATTCGCCTTTGTAACAGAAAGTAAAATTCATGCATTGGTCATATCTGAAAATGTATTTTTCATTCTGTACTTCTAGTCCAACATCATGCTGCCAAATGGTAGGAAATATTTTTCATTAGTCTTCTGGAATTATAATTGGTCATTGTTTTCAATGGTTTTAGAGTTCATGTCTTTCAAAGTTGTTTTCCCTTTATAGTACCAAAGTCATTATATAAATTATTCTCCTAGTTCTGTTCATTTCACTTTGTAGCAGTTCATAAAAGTTTTCTCAGGTTTCTCTGAATCACTCATATTTATCATTTTTCGAGTATAATAATATTCTAATATATGCATATACTTTAATTTTTTCACTCATTCCCCAATTAACGGGTACCCATTTTGTTTCCAGTTCTTTCCTACAAGAAGTGCTGTTACTATAAATATTTTATACACATAGGTTATTTTTCTCATTTGGAGGGTTATATGCCTGGCAATGGTATTGCTAGATTATAGGATTATGCACTGTTTAGTGACTTTTTGGACATAGTTCCATATTGCTTTCCAGAATGGTTGTCTTAGTGTTTTTTCAAGTGACTGGTTAGTTATTAGTTTGTATGACTTTGGTCCAGTTACTTAAACTCTCTATCCAGCCTGTTCTTCATTCAAAAAATAGGATCAGTAATACTTGTATTATCTGTATGAAAGGCTGGTTGTAAAGAAAGCATTTTGTAAACATTAAAGTGTTATAGGAATTGCTACTATTATTCAATAAACATTTACTTAGAACTTTAGGGGCAGCTAGGTGGCGCAGTGGATAGAGCTCTGGCCTTGAAGTCAGGAGGACATGAGTTCAAATCCAGTTTCAGACACATGACACTTACTAGCTGTGTGACCCTGGGCAAGTCACTTAACCCCGACTGCCTCACCAAAAAAGCAAAAAAAAAAAGAAAAAGGAACTTCAAGAGATCTGCGATTTTATTTTTAAGTTTACTTCTTCTATCAGTGTAATTTACACCCACTTCATACTTCAACAGGCAGTTTTCATTAGTTGTTTGATCCCCCACCCCCATCCCTCATGATCATTAGTTACTGGCTAGCCTTTTAACCCAAGAGTTAGAAGGGACTTCAGAGGTCATGTATTCCAGTACACAAATAAGAATTGTCTCTAAAACATTCTCAAGGAGTAGTCTTCCAGCCCTTCATGAAATAGTATTTGTAAAGTACTTAGCATAGTACCTGGCACATTGTAGGTGCTTAATAGATGTTTATTCCCTTCCTCCTCTTCCCTTCAATGAAGATCCTCATTTATACATGGATTCACTACCTCCTGATGCTGCCCCTTTCACTTTCACCTTACATCTACTGTGAGGTTTAGATTGGAAATAGTAGATTCTTGAGGGTGTTGAATGTCAGGGTCAAGATTTTATACTTTATTCAGCAGGCAGTAGGACATCACCAAAGTTTTTGAGTAGAGGAATAGTGTGATCAGAAGAGTGCTTTTGCACTGAGGGTAGCAGTATGAAGGATGGATTGAGAGGAAATAGACTAGAAGTGGGAAGACCATATAGGAAACTGTAATAACAACCTAGGAAAGAAGAAGTAAGATCCTTAAATAAGAGTGATTGTAGGAGGAGTTGAATTACTAGTTTTGTGTTCTATAGTCCCAGGACGACCATAGTGAAAGTTGTATGGAGGCAAATTTTAGGTCATTATAAAGAAAAACTATAAATCTTAGAGTTGTCCAAAAAATGGTATGGGCTACTTATTCATAAGTTAGTGATTTGCTCATCACTAAAGATGTTCAGATAGAGACTGGATAACTATGTTTTAGTGTACTGCAGGAATGCATTAGCCAGGTGGCTAAAGTAGATAACCTTTGAGGTGTCTTCTGATTCTGAAATCGTGGAATTCTAAGGAAAGATTTCAAATATTAAATGCAGACAGCTCTGTATTTTTTGAAACTTCAGAATTTACAACATAAACTGTGATGTAGTACTTTTATACATGTGTTATCTCATTTAATCCTCAGGAAATTATCATGATGTAGGCCAGCAGCTATTATCTCCAAGGTCAGTCAAATAGAATATGTGCACATTGTAGCCCTTTGGCTCCTGGTTCACTGCTCTTTGCACTCATGTACTTTTCATGTTTCATGGAGGCAGTTTAATAAATTTGGAAAGGACCTTAGGGGAGGCCATCAGTATAATCTGTAACCGAACAGTAGTCTCTACTTGTTTATGTCTATAGTGCTAACTCAAAGCTTTTCATTAACATAACCTTTACCTTATTAAAATAACCTATACAGCAAGATCTTGGGATTTCTGTTGTATTGATAAGGAAACTTTCTGCCTGCTTGTTCAGTAACATTATTTTATTTTGCAATAAATAGTCGTGAATGTTTTATCTTTTAGGGAAGAAGAAACTGCTGTTTTTGGAGAAGACTTGGGTTTAAATACCAGCTCTGCCCCTTAATTCGTTTATCCTTGAGTAAGTCACATCATCTTTCTGGACCTCCTTTACTTGTATCCTACTACCTCTGCTTTCCTAATCTCTCCACACTACCTGATTCCTTATTTCAATCCCCCTTAGCCCACCTACCCCCAAAAGTTCTGCAGGCAACAAACTTGCTTGCATTTTAAATCTTTTCCTTTTCCCACTCCTTCCATCTTCTGGCTTTCTCTGAGACCTGACTTCTTCCTGGTTACACAGCCTCCCTGACAACCCTTTCTAGTACTGGCTTCACTTGCACTGATTCCCGTGGCTCACTGTTCAAGGTGGGGAAGTTGGAATACTCCTTGTTCCCCATTGCCACTTTGAAGTTTTCCCTTTACCACCATCACTCAGTGACCTCTCCTCTTTTTAAGTTCATGGAATCCACATCTACCACCCAATCAAAATCCTGATCACTGTTTTCTATAGACCTTCAGAACACTTTTCTTGCTTCCCCACTGAGTTCAGTATCTTTCCTCCAAACTCCTGCCCTCATACTAAAAACACCCTAACCTTTCAGTTCCTTAAACTGTTTATTTCCCCTAACCTTACTTTTCCATCCCACCTTATCCCCACACAAAGACCATCATTCCTTTGATCTTGCTGTCACCCCACAGATGTACCACCTCCATGTTCATGAACTCTGAAATTCTCTTGTTTGATCACACTCTATTGGCTTTCCACCCCTTCCTCTGCCTTCCAGTACCAAACTCTACTCTTTGTCCACACTGTGGACAATTCCTCAGCCTCTCAATTTTCTTTCAGGCCATCACCCCTAAACTAGGCACACTCTCCTTTGCCCATCTTGACTTCTTGGTGAACCAGTTCAACTCCACCTTGTCCCCTTCTTGAGTCCCTGGCTGCCTTATCCTATTGTCAGATATGCAATGCCAAGCCTCAGCCTTGTATCGCTTTCACTTTCTGCTGCCTGAATGCACGTAGAGAAAATCATACAACCATTCTGACTGGGTCCAATAAAGATTTATGTTACATAGCCTGAACTGAACCTTCTTGGCAGCTAAATGATTGTTTTACACCACTCTAATTAAATCATTATCACTCAACACAGTGACTCTTCCAAAATTTTTCATTCTTCCACAAACCTCTCAAGATTCCCTTTCCATCTAACTTCTGTGCTGAGAACTTTGCCTCATTTCTTAACAGAAAAAATTAAGCCCATTCCCTGAGAGTTACCTCTTTTCCTCTCCTCCCCATCTCATATCACTCTGATGCTTCTGCTACTGTCTTCCCCTTTACTTCTGTTTCACATGAAGAGGTGGTCCTTTTTCTTGCCAAGGCAAACCTCTCCATGCACAAGTGACCCCATTCCATCATGTCCTTTCTAGCAGGTTGTGCCCCTTATCATTTCCACTGTCTTCAGTCTGTCCCTTTGTAATGTCAAAGACCCATGTCTCCCTATCCTTAGACCTTCACTGGATCCTTCTTTCCTTGCTAACTGTTGTCCGATATCTCTTCTGCCTTTTGTGCCTAAACTTGAGAAAGCTCTCTCTATGATAGATGCCGCCAGTTTCTCTCCTCTTGCTCTCTTCTTCATTCTACATTTGGGCTTCAGACTTCATTGTTCAAGCAAAGCTCTCTCAGAACTTAGCAGTGATTTCTTAATTGTCAAATCTAATGGCCTTTTCTCAGTCCTCATCCTTTTTGACCTTTATATAGCCTTTGATGCTGCTGAACATCTTCTCCTCCATACTCTCTAGGTTTTCGGGGCACTAATCACTTCTAGTTCTTTTCCTACCTGTTTGACCACCCCCTTCTTAGTCACCTCTACTTGATCTTCATCTAGGTCATGCCTGCCAGCCATGAGTGTCCTATTCTAGCCTAAGCCTTCTTTTCTTTTCCCTCTGTACTATGTCACTTGATGATCTCATCAGCTCCCACAGATTCAGTTATCTCTGTATTGATGATTCTCAAATCAGCTAACCTATCTGCTGACTTCCAGTCTTGCATCTGCAACTGTCTTATTAGGCATCTTGAACTGGATGTTCCATAGACATCTTAAACTCAGCATGTCCCAAACTGAACCCAAACCCTCTCCTCTTCCAGACTTCTTTGTTACTATTAAGGGCACCACCATCCTCTTACTTCCTCAGGCTCACAACCTGAGTGTCATCCTTGATTCCTCACTATCTCTCACCCTCCATATTCAATCTGTTGCCTGTTTTCACCATTTTAATATCTCTGAAATATACATTCCTTCTCTTCTCTTATAGTGCTCCCATCCTGGAATGGTCCTCATCTCCTCAGGCAGTAGCTTACTGGTTGGTCTGCCTGCTACAAGTATCTCCCCACTCCAGTCTATCCTCCATTCAGCCTTCAAAGTAATTTCCCTAAAGCACATGTCTAACCATGTCATTCCGCTACTCAGTAAACTCCAGTAGCTCCCTATCACCCCCAGGATTAAATATAAAATGCTCTGTTTAGCATTTTAAAACCCTTAATAACTAGTTCCCCTCCTTCACCTTTCCCCCCACCTTTTTTTTAGGCCTTACACACCCCACAAACTCTTTGTTCCAGTCATACTGGCCTTCTTGCCTGCTCCTTGAACAGTACACTCCACCTCAGTTTCAAGTATTTTCACTGACTGTCCCCCATGGTTGGAATGCCCTCCCTCCTCGTTTCTATCTCCTGATTTCTCTGGTTTCCTTCAAGTCTTCTTCTACAGGAAGTCTTTCCCAATCCCTCTTAATTCTAGTGCTTTCCTTCTCTTGATTATTTCCTGTTTATCCTGTGTGTTTTTAGTAGGTTGTTCTTCATTAGACTGTGAGCTTCTTGAAGGCTGGGGCTATCATTTTTTTGTAGCATCAGCATTGAAACACAGTGCCTGGCGCATAGTAATTCCTTAATAAATGCTTATTGACTGACTTAAGTGATAGTATTGAACTCTAGATCATCTTCAAAGTCCTTGTGTAGCGATGAATCAATTAACAAGCTTTAGTTAACAACTTAATATGTGCCTGGCATTGTGTTAGGTGCTAAGGATACAAATATAAAAATGAAATAATCTCTGCACTAAATGAGTATATATTCTAATGGGATGTGTAACACGAAATGAGGAATAGTGTCCAGACAAGGGAGTTTTTGGTTTAGACAGACATCCGTAGCAGTGGAGGTAGAGGGCAGTAGGTAGTCATGTCCTTTCCAGTAGCAATTGGGGGGTGGGTGTGGGTGTGTTCATTCGTGTTCCTCAAGCCAGTGGTGGAAAGTGGGTAGGGTTGATTGAAAGTCAGCAGGTTTAATGGCAATATATTTATGCTGGATGGGCCCTAGCGACCTGGTGGGTGGCTTGAAGGAACTGCAAAGCATAGCCTAGGGGTTTTTAACCTTTTTTGTGTTATCAGTTGGCATTCTCATGAAACCTATGAACCTTTTCTCAGAATAATGTTCTATAATGCTTAAGCTATAATACATAGGATTACAAAGGAAACCAATTCTATGGGGTTATGTAAAAAAAAATTTTAAAGGTCACAATCCCCAGGTATAGAGCCTCTGGCATAAGGCATACATACATACACAGAATTAAGTGAGTTTTTACCCACCCACCATCCCAGACAATTCAGCTCTAGGGAGGGATCTAAAACTCAGATGATTAACTGTCCTGGGTAGGATAGACCTAGACAGTCTGGGGGTTAGATCCTAGAGGAGAGATCTGTCCCTGGTGGGGAGGAAGCAGGGATTATTGCAAGGTATCTGTGAGTCCTGTTGGTCTGCTAAATGGGATGTCAAACATGGTTTGGGCCTGACTAATTTTAATGAGTTTCAGTGAGATTTTCCTGTTTCAACTGAATGTATATGATCTCTTGAGAAAAAATTTAGAGGATGAATTTTTTTTTGTGGAGGTATGTTGGCTCTGGATAAGACTCAATATGGAAATAATTTAATTATCCCTTGATATTTCTGAATTTTGGCAGACTTATATTTGTAATGCATTTCCATAAGAGGTGTATTATACATAAAGAAAACTATTATGAAGTATCTAAATTAGAGGGATAATTATTCACCTTTTTACAGAGCTTTAATTTGCATAAAAATTCATCCTAGAATTGCTTTAGTTAGCTTTCCCAGTACATTTACAAAATAATTCCATTTAGGGATAGTAAACAATAGACGACAGAAATTTGAAAGTTAGAAAAGATTGTCATTTAAATCAACTTTTTTTTTTTTTTAAAGAAAAGAATAGGCTTGAACATCTTCTTTGCCTCATAGGATCCCTCTCTTCCTTTGAGATCCAGCTCAGGGACCACCTTCTTCATGAGACCTTTCTTGATTCACCCTGCTATCAGTTACCTCCCTCCCAAACTGCCTTGTATTTAGCTTGTTGTTGTTCAGTTCTTTACTTGTGTCTGCCAATAACTGTCCGTGAGGTTTTCTTGGCAGAGATACTAGAGTGGTTTGCCGTTTCCTTCTCCAATGAGATTAAATTAACAGTGTTAAGTGAGTTGCCCAGAGTCACCCAACTAGTAAGTGTTAAAAGTCTAGATTTTGAACTCACGTCTTCTTGACTGCAGTCCTAGTGCTGTATCCACTGGGCCACCTAGCTTGCCTTGCACTCAGTAGGTTCCAATAATTCTTTTTATTTCTTATTGTTTTGTTGTGTTTTCACCTTTGTTTTCTGTTTTGGCAATTTGATTTTCTGCCTTTTTAATTAAATTAGGTGATGTTTCATCAGTTTTATTAGTATTTTTAAAGAACTAGCTGTTAGTTTTTTGTTGTTTTTTTTTTCATTTCTGGTTTCCAACTTATTTATTCCCTTCAATAGTTTTTACTATATTTTCTTTTATAAAGGAAAACAGTTGTATGGAAAGTTATGTAAAAAAAATTTTTTTAAGGTCACGATCCCCAGGTATAGAGCTTTTTTTTTTTTTTTTTGGCTTTCAATTAAAAAAAAGCATGTTTCATTCATTAATTTCCGTCTTTTCTTGTTATTGTGTTTTTAGAGAATGTATTTTCCCCCTCATGATTACTTTAACTGAAATTTT